AGCTCTGTACTCAGGAGTCACTCCTGGCAATTTTCAGAGGACCATAGGCAATGCCAGGGGATCAACTCAGAATCAGCTGCATTCAAGACAAGTGCATTAGCTCTGTACACTCTCTCTCTCTCTCTCTCTCTCTCTCTCTCTCTCTCTCTCTCTCTCTCTCTCTCTCCCCCCCCCCCTTGGTTGGTGCTCAGGGCTTGTTCCTGGCTCTGTACTCAGACAGTGCTTAGGGGACTGTATAGGGTTCCAGGATCAAACCTGTATAAGCTGTGTGTAAACCTTACCCAGTGTACTATCTCTGTACCCCCAACATCTTTTATTGAATAACTTATCTCTGTTAACTTACCTGCTGAATTTTCTAGCTTTTCCTTTTAGACAGCCATATAATTTGCAAGTAAAATTATTGTTCCTTCCCATCGATTACTTTTATTTTATTGTACTATTAATATATCAAATTAATAATATTGAATATCTAGCACAATTTTCTTTTCTTCCGTGTGACTGCTTGTAATATACACCTTCAAACAAATATTTCTGTTTAACTATGTGCCAAGCATTGTTCTAGCCAGCACAGGAAACAAACATATCTCCCTTCATTGAACTTTCTAGTTGGTTAGAAAAAAAAAAGCATAAGAGGTATTGTATGATCAATAATGAAATGTGTTCTGAGGCAATTTTGAATAAGAATGACAGATCATGTTGAGGCTAGTACGATGCCTTTGTAATTATAATTGCAAAGTAAGTAATGAAATTGATTTTCACTGAGAATATAATTTATAGAGAAAAGACTCAAAAGAATCAAGCCCTGATTGTGGATCAGCATGTGCAGAGGCCCTGGGGCAGGACTTGTGTTGAGCATGATGGGGGAGAGATAAGGAGCCCGTTGTGGTTAAACGTGGTTAAACCGTGAGTGAGTAGAAAGGCACTGGGAAGAAATATTTAGAGAAGTGATGAAAGAACCAGATTGCAGAAACTTGAGCTTCTCCTCTTGAGTAAAATGGAAAGTCAGTGGAAGATTTGATGAATATAAGTAGAGTATCTTTGCTGAAATCATCCGGCTTGTGTAGACTGTTGTGTGGAAAGTAAATGGGATGGACGTTTAACAAGATGAAGTGGTGGAATCAGAGCCATAAGAGACCAGGCATGAAGCCTCACACTTGTTCATCTGACGTGGGATCTGAATTCAATCGAAGGTGATTTGAGGTGAATCCAAATTTTTATTTTGACTATCACTGTATCACTGTCCTCCCGTTGTTCATCAATTTGCTTGAGCGGGCACCAGTAACGTCTCCATTGTGAGACTTTTTGTTACTGTTTTCGGCATATCAAATATGTCATGGGGAGTTTGCCAGGCTCTGCCACGCGGGTGAGATACTCCTGGAGGCTTGCCGGCCTCTCTCAGAGGGGTGGAGGAATCGAACCGGGTCAGCTGCATTCAAGGCAAATGCCCTATCCGCTGTGCTATTGTTCCAGCCCAAAATATTTTTTTATTTTGACTAATAATTTGAAAAGTGAGACTTCTCCTTAACTACAGTGGGATAAACAGATTTTCTTAGAAAAGGGTCATTAACCCTAGGTGTCAAGTCGAGAAAGCCATGTGGAGATGTTTAGGAGTCAATTGGATGTATAAATCCTGAATTCAGGTAAGCTTTTTTTCAGTGGGCTCTAAATTTTGAGATTTGGAGGTGCCATACCAGTACTGCTCAGGTCTTACTCCTGGCAGTGCTCAGGGAACTATTTGAAGTGCCAGGGATCAAACAGGAACTGGTTACGTGCAAGGCAAGCCTTAAACCCTATACTATCTGTTCAATCAAGTTTAATGGAGGGAAGAAGGGAGGGAGGGAGGGAGGGAGGGAGGGAGGGAGGGAGGGAGGGAGGGAGGGAAATGTTCTGATGATTTAAAATTTGGAGGTAAGGGAGATAAATTTAAAAATATATATATATAAACTGTGACAGTGAAAAAGAAAGTAATCATGGGAGTGTATTGCCCGGGAAGTCAAGGACAAGTTTCAAATAAACTGGAGTGGTCATATTATCTAGTACTGCTGACGGGCACAAAGATTACAAGAAAATGACTTGGAATTAATGACATGGGGGACATTAGGAAGTATATAAAAGCAGTTACAATGGAATAGGAGAGCGATTTGTGCACTTTTATAATTTCTATGGTCTTGAATTGATTTCTAGACTGTTTCCAAGACAGAGAAACATGAGGTTTCATTTTAGTCAGCCATTAAGTTCAGTGTCGTATTTATTTTAGTGCTCAATTGCTTATTATATTCCTCCCCATTTGGTTTCATTCTAACTTCAGCAGATCTCAGCAAGATTTTGAGGAATGAACTCAGTTTGTTAGAAATCATCTCTGCTCTTGAAATTTTATTTAGCTAAATATAAAGTTGTGCGATGATAGTTTTTCTCACTAGGCGTCTGGAAAACTTGATTTTTCTCATAAAAATCTGCAGCCAGTACATGGTGCTTCTCTGTACATAAATCCTTATCTCTGTACATATTTCTTTATCTTGGGAGTTCCATGTAATCCATATTTACTTTCATTTTTATTTTATTAATCCTGCTCAGCATTCGCTATGCTCTCTCCTCGTCGGGTTTGTTTCATTTCACTGTTTTCTAATTCATGGAAGTTCTCAGCCAACTTTCTTTAAAACATTTTGGTCCTCTGCTAATTCTTTCATTACGGTGAAAGTCATGCAACATTACCACTGGACTTGTCTGAATTCTCTTATGTTTTCTTTTTATTTTATCTTTATTTTTTTTTCCTGAACACTCAGGACATTCCTTGGCAACATCACTAATTCTCTCCGGGGCTCTTTTATGAAGAATTGCTCCATCTGAATCTTTTTTGTGACTGTGTTGTGTTTTCACATTTCAAATGTTCATGGTCTCCTTTGCGTTCGCAGCTGCCACCCAGCGGGCACCTCACGATCTCCCGGCCAGTGAAGCTTACACTTGTGATTCCTCAAAACTGTCTATCTCTTTGAGATGACTTTTGTCTGTACTTGTTTCATATTTTCTTGGCCTCGCATATGGGTGAGTTTTCTCCAGCACAGTTATCTCAAGCAAACACTCCACTGAACTACTTTCAGTTTCTTCTGTTATTTGCATTTGATCAGGAGTATATTCATCTCCAATTTATTGAGCTAGCTAGCTGGATTTTAGTAGTAGAGGGTAAGATTATCTTTTTCCTTTTTAGGTTATGCACTAAGTAAAAGATGTTTTTTACCTTCACACTTTCTTTGTATAATGTGTTGCCTTCACCTATCTCCAGCACTCCATCCAACCCTCATTTTTATCAGCACCCCAGGATTCTTTCCCATCCAGCAATGGCTTTAGACACATTCCTGACACAGTTACAGAATCGGGGCCTAGGTCAGGTCTGCATGGCTTTCTCTGAATCCGCTCCCTCTTGTAATAACATGCACTAGAAAGATCCAGAGGGTGTCTGGCATCACTTTCTAGGTATTAGAGCCTCAGACCTGATGTTACACCAACAGACCAGTATCTGGTCTCCTGATCTTCATAGTAGGCATTGGTCTCTCCTGAAGGGTTAAAGTATAAATCACTGTAGTTTTATTCTGGTCATCTTGGTCATCAGGGATATAGAACACCTCAGTAACAAAATGACTGGACTTCAGTGGCCATTTATGGGCATTAGGGTTTTCTGTGGGCACGTAGCTCAGTGGTAGTGTGTGTATATAAGGCCCTGGGTTCCATCCTGGCCCCGCAAAGAGCAAGAGACAGACGCGAAGAGAGACAAAGAGGGAGAGACAGAAAGAGACATTTATCTTGACTTCCACAACGCAGGGTCTTTAAGGCTGCTATAATTCATTTCATTCAGAACTAATGTCTTAATGCATTTAGTGTCTTAGCTCACAATGCCAAAATAACAAAAATATCTTAATATGACTTGTTTAGTCACATATGGTAGCTGTCATTGCGTTCACATGCATTGCATTTTTTGACAAACAAAAATATAAAAAAATGTATTACTTTTTTAAAGAAGTTTTATGAAGTTTGATACTATTTTTCATAAAACTCAAACTAATATCATCAATCACATTCTAGATAGGAAAATAATCAGGATGGGTCCGATAAATAGGTGAAAATGCGTCTGCCCTGATTTATATGGTCACAGTTATGACATCTGGTATCCCCGTATTTTTCTTTACTACACGCGTGATACTCTGTCCAGGTAATCCCCGGATATGATGACTTTTTCATCTTCCCATATGTATTTCCTCTGGTCCCTAACAGAATTGGGCCTTTTGCCAATCTATCAAGGCTCATGTCTGGGAGCGTGAGTCATAAATACCAAGAAGAAGAGTGAGTGTTTTGAAAGGAGGTGAGAGATCAGACTCAGACTTAATCTTCCCTCCCAGTGTCTTCTAGTGAGAAACTGTGCAGCACTGATTTTTAAGGCTCAGTCAGCCATACACATCCGTGGGGCCACGAGTTTACATACTCCCAATAACCAACAAAGGTGTTCACAGAGGAAGCAGTGGTAATCATTCTCGAGTAACAAAGGAAGTTAAAAAAAAAAAGTAAGAGTTCAGGACTGGAGCCATAGCACAGCCGGTAGGGCGTTTGCCTTGCATGAGGCTGACCCAGGTTCAATTCCCAGCACCCCTGAGCATGGTCCCCTGAGCCCCGCCAGGAGTAATTCCTTAGTGGAAAGCCAGGAGTATTCCCTGAGCACCGCTGGGTGTGACCCCCCAAAAATAAATAAATTTTCAGACCTTATCATATTTGCCTTACCAAGTGATTTCCGTTACGTGGCAACATTATTCCTGCAATTAATTGTATGCAGCCCGTCATGGTAGACGTTGGTCCCCAGAGTCCCCAAAAGGAAACAAGTCAAAGAATGTTTATGTCACCTTTGCATAAACTCTCCTCTGCTCCTTTGCTGGATCATGGGTTGCTTCCGTTTAGGCCACTTCCCCGTACCATAAACTTCTCATCCCTCTTGCTTTCTCTCTCCCTGCAGCCAGCCATTTGGGAACTGAAGCAGCTGCCATGCGAAAAAGGCAGCAGTCACAGAATGAAGAAACACCTGCCGTGTCGCAAGCACCCGGAAACCAGAGGCCCAACAACACGTGTTGCTTTTGTTGGTGCTGTTGTTGCAGCTGCTCCTGGTATGTCTCCTCGTCTGTCGAATCCCCCACCCAGGCTGAAAGGGACCCGAGGGGAACTGCAGGTCCATCCGGGAGGGCGCGCAGAAATCGTTCGATGGGGTTTCATGTGGTTTTGTTTTTGTTTCAAAAGCAGTTTCCAAATTATACTGTGAGCAATGTGGTAACAGTAGCGTTCAAGAGTAACTTAGGTGCAAAGTTACTGCACCTCATCACAGATGGAGTGCCTTGGAGCCTCTACCATGAATTGTGTCTCATCTTCATTTTTCCCAATTTGTCCCTCCACTCCTTGATACTCTTCGTTTTTAAAGGGTTCGTCATCATTAAAGTCTTTTTATTCCCTCATCTTGACTCTCTCTATACCATAAATGAGTATTTTCTGATATTTTCTAATATCCTCTGATATTTTTTTCTCCTTTCTGAATTATTTAATACGATGCCCTACAATTTCATCCATGTTGTAGCAAAAGCAAGTTTTCTTTTTTTATTCTCACAGCTGCATAGTATTCCATTAGGCTTATAAATAACCCGTTTCTTTTGTTTTTTTGTTTTGTTTTGGGGGGCCTCACTTGGTGGTGCTTGGGGATCACTGCTGGCAGGCTTAGGGGACTGTATGGGATGCTGGGGCTGGAACCCAGGTTGATTATAAGCTAGGCAAATTCCCTCCCTGCTATCTTATCGCTCCAGCCCCTATACAGTTCAGTTTGTTTATCCATTCATCTGTCATTGGAGATTTCAGTTGAGTTGTTTCCATATCAACATTATTTCTGTTTCCTGCAAATCAGAGCAATCAGAGACTAGCTTTGGTTGGATGCAAGCATTTTCATAAGGAAAATGTAAAAATTTCCCTGGAATCTACATTTAAGTAGATAGTAAAGAGTGAACATTTACTTCATTTCATGTTTGATTCCATTCACACTTCTTATTTTATATTTATTTAATATTTTCTTTGTGGTTATTTTAGCAATGTTCCAAGAGGAGCAGGAACGTTAAGATTCTATTTAGTAGTACTCTGTGTAGTAGAATATGGCATTTAGTCATGTGCTATTTCATAGGGGAGTGGGTCAGACAATGTGATATCAGGAGGAATCCCAGACACAGAGAAAATATGGGACATTAAGGGACACAGAGAAAATATGCAACAGACTTAATGCTCAGCTATCTAAAATGCCACTGGGACAGAGGGGAAAGCTCATTCTTTCAAAACTTTGACACAAAAGTCAGAGATTCTGCTTTTCATGCTGCACTTTGGGCGAGCTATTTGACATCATGCAAAGTAGTCATCTGTGTGTGTGTGTGTGTGTGTGTGTGTATGTGTGTTTTCTTTCTGCCATTAGCACAATGTTGAAGAAGAACTAGATAGGTAGACTAATTCTCCAGGTCCATTTAGACTCAGGTATTGAGAAAACCCGTGCCAGTTCCAAATTTCCCCAAGTGACCCCCCCCCCCAAAAAAAACAATCAACATTACCTAGAGTCTGAAGTTTTTCTTTTTTATTGAATCACTGTGAGAAACAGTTACAAAGCTTTCAGGTTTGACTTTCAGTCATACAATGATCAAACAGCCATCCCTCCACCTGTGCACATTTTCCACCATCCATGTCCCCAGTATCCCTCCGCCATCCCCATCTAACCCCTCCCCCTGCGTCTATGGCAGACAGTTTCCCTCTTACTCTCTTTCTCTACTTATGGGTATTATGATTTGCAATACAGATACTGAGAGCCCACCATGTTTGGTCCTTTATCTACTTTTCAGCACACATCTTCCATCACGAGCGATCCCTCCAACCACCATTCACTTAGTGATCCCTTTTCTGTCCCAGCTGCCTTCTACCCTCAGCTCATGAGGCAGGCTTCCAACCATGGAGAAATCTTCCTGGCCCTTGGCAGAGTCTGAAGATTTTTGTGGAAGAGGGTTCTCTAGGGAAGATAGACTTAACTGAATTTTCATGAGAACCTTAAGTTTCTAAGGGTCTTTCAAGATCCAGAACACTGTTGCATCTTCAAAGCTAGCTCTGACCATGTGGAGCTCCCAGACTTATTTCAGTATATCAGAAGAAGGCTTAAATCTGTGAGGTACCGTCTCAGCATGTTTGAGAGTATGCTATTGCATAACAGTGTTCTATAATGATACTCTATTGTGGAAGATTAAAAGTTGTCTTCCCAAAACAGTGTGTGAGTGTGTTTGTGTTTATGCATAAGTACGTATGCACATATACTAGGAATCAAAGCCAGGACCTTATGCATGCAAAACATATGCTCTACCACTGATTATCCAGGCATTAAAGGAATATTTTTTTATAGATGTTGAAATTTCTTCCCATGATAATTATTTGTTAGGAAAGTTATTCACTATCCCTTCAATTCTTACTATATCTTAACTGTTTCAGAGAGAGGTAGTAGAATGCTAATTAAGGCAATCATAGTTGTGTGTGTGTTTCTTTTTCCTGTATCACTCTTAAAGAGATCACCTAGGTCTCTCCTAATCCACAAATACAGTGTAGTGATTTAATATGGCAGTTCTGAAGTCAGACTTCTTCGGTTATATTTTATCACCTCCTATCACCGTCTGTGGGACCTTCAGAAAGTCACTTACTACATCCAGTCATCAAATTTCTCATCTGTCAAATGATAGTGATAAAAACCACTACCTTACATTGTTTTACAGTTGTAAAATTTTCATTAGAGAAAAAAACATGCTTAGACTCACACGTAGCATTTAGTTCAGTGCTCACTGGGCTATGAAATACTTTATATTGCAAAAAGAAAATCTCTTTAAAAAGAAACTGGCTTGAAACAATATTTTTTTTTACAAAAGCAGCTTGTGAATGTGAAATCACCTTGGGAGGAAAAAGCAATTTGATTTTCAAGTCACTGTGCATCACATATTTATCGTTATGCAGTTTATTGCCTGACCAAACTTATTTCTTAGTTGAATCAGAATAAAAACACAAAAGTAAAAAGTGCATTGAGCTTTACTTAAATTATGCTCTCTTACTGCCAAACAAATACTAAGTGTAACTAGATTTTATCTGTCCTCTACATATTAAGGAGACTGAATTTTGTTCTTTTTTTTTCCTGGAAAGAGGAAATATTTTTTATTTTTATTTTTGAGAATGTCAGTTGTTTACATGATTGTGTATATAGCTTTTAGGAGTATAATTTCACACCTCTTCAAAATACATGTTACTACACCACAACCAAATGCACACTAACTGATAATGTGTTCATTGTAAGTTCCTGATCATCTTATTTTGACAGAGCATGTACCATGGAACAAAAACAAGACAATTTTTGGAGGCTATTTTAACTCCTGCACCTTTAGGTCATGCATGTTTGAATCCTAAACATGTGCTAGATTGAGTGAATGCTCTACCAGCTCTGGACTAGAATATCATTTTCAGGAACTAAGTTTGTTACCAATGAGTCATGAGTGCCTATATGTAGACCATAAAATGCCCTACGTATGACAAATCATAGATAATTTCTAATGCAAACAATATGATCAAAGTTGAATTATAGTGAACTAATAAGTTTTCTAATCACTATCTTGTTTTATGGTAAAAAAAATTGTCATTTGTGCATTTTAGAAATAATTTTTTTTCACTTGAGAGGAAAAAATGCTAAAAGCTGATTAGAGTGAGAATACGGAAAGAAATACTCTAAACTTTCCCGACTAGGTCAAAGGAACAGAGCAAAAAGAAATGTGTGTGTGTGTGTGTGTGTGTGTGTGTTAGGGATTGGAAAATAAACTATAAATCAAAATATAAAGTAACTTTTTTGAAGAGGAACAGGCTTATCATAACTGACTTTATCAAAACTATATAATAGTTTTCGTCTTCTATTGCAAACAGAGTGGTAGAACATTCTGGAACCCTGTCACAAGTAATCTCAGTAGGTATATCAAAAATAAGAAGAGTCCACTCTCAGGCACACTGCACTGTAGCATTGTCCTCCAGTTGTTCATAATTTGCTCGAGAGTAATTTGCACCATAATTTGCACCAGTAACATCTCCATTGTGAGACTTGTTGTTACTATTATTGACATATCGACTATGTTACGGGAAACTTGCCAGGCTTTGCTGTGAGGACAGGATACTCTCGGTAGCTTGCCGGGCTCTCCGAGAGGGATGGAAGAATCGAACCTGGGTCGGCTGCATGCAAGGCAAACGCCCTACCCGCTGTGCTGTCGCTCCAGCCCACCATTCTCAGGAAGACTTAAAAAAAACTCTGCCTTTCATTGAGATTTGGAATTAGATCAGAGGTATCCAAAAGACCATTGTTAGTTCACAGTGGTAAGTTAAACATGAAAACACCCAAACTTAGGGTTCTATGGAAAGTTCCTCTCAGTCTAGTATCCCCTTCCAGAATCTCATCTGCCTGAGTCTTGGGACTCTGCTCTTCCTAAAGTGTTTAGTTGAAATTGGCCACAGACTGAGTTGAGTACAGTTATTAGCCCTGTGAAAGTAGAGGCCACCTTCTTCTCTGGGACTTCTGAGTTTCAGAGTACCCAGCCCGTATGGATGTGGATGTCCAGTGTGAACTTCCCTGTTCCTGCCAGTGTCAGTGGTGAACTAAATGGTAACGTAGAGAACTCCAGAAACACGCATCTCACTGGCCCTTCCTTCCATCTCTAACAAGCACCACAGTCGCTATAATTCAAAACAGTATAAAAATAATGTCCTATTTTCGCCTGTGATTCTGTCACACTTTAGCTCCCTGCCAATGAGGAAACTAATTCATGCTTCAAAAGCCAAAGGGACATTTTGCCCCAAAAGGATATTTTTTAAAGGAAAAAAGAAAAAGGCACATCTGTTCCATGGTTAAAAAATAAAAAAGAAGAAGCACAACATGGATACATATAAACTGTCTTTAGCCCCATAATCCTGGGAATCCAGAAGCTCAGGTGTGTGAGGTGAATCATTTATCAGCAATGCCTTGAGTCTCCTCAAAGCTGCCACTCTCAAAGACCCAGTTCTTCTCGCACAAGAACATAAGTCATCC